ATTTATAATAGGTAAAACCTGAAAATAACCCAAATGCCCAAAAATAGATGACTGAATTTTATTTCTTCCTTTTAAGAGTCATGTGGGGTTTGAACCTCCCTTGTAGAGTAGCTATGGCAAGTTTAGCTGCCAGCAGCTTTGGAAGTGTTGATTGAGTATGGCATTAGTTTCTTTCATTTAATTTGGAGCTCTTGCTTTCCAGTCCAACAAAGTGAACACAAATGTTGTTGTCACGGAGATTTTAGATGGGTCAGTCTTGACCCTGGCTCTGTGCGAAAGACCCTTACGACTGGCAGCTGCTTACTGATGACTGGTCAGTCTTGATCACACACTGAGATTCTGTGCTTGGTCTTTTTATTATGTTAGTTTGACTTTCATGTTTAGCTCAAATCAGTCATTCTTTGTGGAAGACTCCAAATGGAATATAGCAATAAGAGTTTCCCCATTTTTTTCGGTTGCTCTTGAGAGGAGTTTTGTGAATATATTTGCCTTATATGCCCCAAGGAATAATGAGTGCTAATTTAGGATTCCTTTTGATGTGGTTTGAGTGAGTCAAATCTATCAGAAATTAGCATAAAATTGCCTCCCTCTTTTTCTCCCTCTCTCTCAACTTGAGCCATCCGAGCTGTAGTGCTTTTCCTCTTCTAATAAGGCAAAGACTACACAGGGTTAATTAATGCCAGCTACCATGTGGCAAAGATAGCAAAGATCAAGCCAGCTGGGTCCATTAATTAATTACACAAGATGCACACACCAGCCACTGAGGACAGAGACAAGAGAAGGCATATTCTTCCGTGGCAGCGTGTGGTGGGTGAGAAGTGGGAAATCTATAAAGCAGGAGAAAGATTTTAAGTTCTTAAGACAGTAGATGGTGGCCAACACTGGCAGCTGAGAAACTGCAGGATGCTCTTAGTAATAAGAGAAGAAAAGTGAAAATCTGAGGGATGACAATGGCAAGATCTGTGAAATAGCCCTAGATGAGGAGGGATAAAAGTTCAGGCTGTATCACCTGCCATCAAGATTTGAGATCAAAATCAAAATTACCCCTATAAGTAAAAGTAATGAATACTTCCAACCAGGTATTTTGTGTTGGGGTGGGAGAGATTGAATTGTTTGTTCTTCAATCACTCATTTTAATTCAATGAAATTCTTTCAGTAGAAATAGTCTTTTATAAATATGATTATTATTCCACTTTTTATTGTGGAGATTTGAAAACATACAAGAGTGATACTTAAGGTGTTCATGACTCATTACCCAGTGTTAATATTTAGCAATGGTTTGTCATTCTTGATAATTATTTTTGGAAGAAAAGTTCAGGTTTAAGTTCATGTCTACCTCTCAATCTCACTTGCTCTTTTAAATTGAAATAATCACCAAATTTTTAACCCGGATATTTGGATACTGCTTTCCTTTTTACCAGGCCAGAGTTGGCACAATCAGGCAAATTTGGCATAATCAAGGCCTGCTGGGGTTAGCACTTGTGCCTTCAGAAGAGATTTGTGGTACTTATTCACAATAAGCCTAGGAAAGTTCATGTCTCTTTGCTCGGAGGATCTTTTTGGGGAATCATTTCTTCAGGCTGCAGGGCCTGGATCTTCAAAATTTTTCAGTGGGGACTGCCACCTATTTCTACACACAAGAGGCCCAGCATACTGGTGACGTTCTGATCCGGTGGATCATCTTACCTGAAAGCTCTGTGTGCAAGCGCCAGCCTCTGTGCTTGTGTCTTCAGGAGCCCTTTTCCATGGGCAAAGCCAAGGTCCCACACCTGTGTTGGTGGGTGAGGGTTGGGAGAGGAATGTGCAGCTGTGCACTTTATTTTTACTCCTTCCTGTTCTCTCCCTTGCAAGGCTTGTCTACCCTCTATCGCCTTCTGAAATGATTATTAATGGATTCCTCATTGCTTTTTCTGAGCTCTTGGTTTTTTCTCTTAGCTCCTGATTATTTTAATTCTGCCAAGCTCTTTTTCATGTCCTTTGCCTGCTGCTCCTTAATTTACAGGCTGGCCTTTCTTCTCCTACTCACGTCCTTCTTTTCTGTTCCCATCATAGTCTCTCTCCCACTGTCTTTCTTCTCTGAGCTGGCACAGACTGGAGCAAATGAAAATATACTTTTCAAATTTTACTGGCCCAATTATTCTATTTTAAATGAAACCACAGCAGTAATCACACTGAACTTAGAAAAACCAGGCAATCTGAAGACAGAATAAAAAGACCAGCTGTCTCTTGTCTTCTTGGCCACTTGCTTTGATAGGATTCTATCTCAAAGGATATTATAGATTTAAACATGTTATTAATTACATTAATTTTTTCCCCAGTGGTAAATTATTAACATTTCTGAATGAATTAGTGCATTTTAGACCATCTACTCACTAGATGAAGAATATTATGATGATTAACTACATTTTTTTCCTAAAATGTTGTTGTGCTATAATTCACCTATAGAAATTAAAAAAAAGAATGAAAGTATATTGTGACTATTAAGTAATGAAATTGTAGTATAGTTCATATGGTTTATCTTTAGTAGTTTGTCTTGATTCTCATCTTCTTGAAGATTCCCCAGACATTATTGCTAGAAGCTCCGTCCTTTAGTTCTTCTATCCCTTTTATCCTTATTCCCATAGTTACCTGTCCTCCTCCCCTCCCTTCCATCTATGTACACACCCACCATGCTGGTGGTTGCCCTTTGTAAGGCATTGTGCAAATGTTGGTCATATAATGAACAAAACACAGTCCCTGCCCTCAAAGGGATTTCAATTTTGTAGGTGAGAACAGCACCTGCAGCAATCACGCTGCTGCAGCAAACATTTATCGAACTCTAAATTTATGCTGGGCATTGCAATAAACATTTTAATACATTATCTCACTTAATCCTTAGAGCAACCCTGGACATGCCATTTATAGGTGAAAAAATGATTGCTGGCTAGAAATATCAGATATGAGGGTGAGTTTGACTTTAGGAGGCATTTATCTTGGGCCCATGAGCCTTAAATCTGATATTCTCACTGCACAAAACCCCAAGTGTTTTGTATGTGTATAATTCATACAAACTTTCACTATTCTTCAACTGCTAAGGTATAGGAGAGGCATGGGACGGGGCGCACTGGATGTCTAGACAAAGGCAGCCCTGGGGGGAGGCATCTTCTACAGTGAAGGAGTAAGCAGGGACTTGGACACTCACAGGCACAAAGTGTGTGTGGTCAAGAAGGGAACCTTGCAAAGAACATTTCTTTCCTTTCTTTCATGGTTTTGTCCTCTGCTGTATTTTAATAATGTGAGCATATTTTTACATCCTAGTTTGAAGATTTTCTTGATTTATTATCTGTGAGCAGCAGTGATGGCAGTTATAAAACAGCTGGGACTTTGGAAACACAGAGAAGTAACTTTCCAAGGTTACGGGGCTAGGGAGCACCAGAGTGAACCCAATATCAGATATTTGTCTCTTATATTTAACTTGTTCCACTTTCTTGGTGCTTATTGGATATGAGCTTGTAACACGGGGAGCAACTGCTTGGAGGCAGACCAACCCGGGCATGAATGTGCTCTGGACTTGGTAGTGCCATTATCTTGGGCCTGTGAAACTTCCAGAGCCTCACTGTTCTCATGTGCAGAGGTAGATAGTGGTACTTACATAGGCAGGCTGCTGGGAGGATTAAATGAGATAATGCGGATAGAGCACCAGATAATGCAGGTACCTGGCATGCAGAACATTCTCCACAAGTATCTGTCCCCTGTTCTGGTCTTCTTCCTCTACTGGGTTTTAGTTCCCCAAAGGCAGATGCATGTTTATCATGGGGACTCAGGAACTCTGTGATAACTGAATAGTGCTTTTTGGAGCCTTGTGAGAACAACCATTCCAGCTCTTAGTTCGCCAATTAACTCTAGACTTCCTCCTTATTTGATGAGAGTCATATGGTTGAACACTGGCCCCCCAAACTAGCTCAATATCATCATTACTATTATCAGCATTATCATCATCATCATCAACTTCAAAGCCTTCAACAGAAGAAATCTTCAGGGGTGACACCGTAGAATCTTTGCCCTTTCTCCAGTGATTCACATGGCCCACTAGTTTGGAGCACTGCTAAACTGTTTCATTTTCCACAATAGTCAAAAATCCTGTATAGGATTGCCAGATAAAAATACAGGATACCTAGTTAAATTTGAATTTCAAATAAACAGTGAATACTATTCTAGCATAAGTATGTCTCAAATATCACACAAAACATACTTATGCTAAAAAATTATTCATTGTTTATCTGAAATAAAAATTTAACTGGGTGTCCTGTGTTTTTATTTGCTAGATCTGGCAATCTCAGTCCCATAACATGGGAGGCCCTGGGAAATAGAGGCCAGCATTTCATGTAGTTTCTATCGGCCTCTGAGATGCAGAGTGCTCTCCTGGCCCACTTTTCACTTAATAAAAAACCTAAGTTGTAACTGAGGTTGGCTAAGGCTCCTGAGATTTAATTTCTCCCACCACAGACATTATTTTGCATAATCCATGAGTGAAGGTGAATTTAGGTATTGTGGTGGAAAAGATTTTTCTGTGAGACGTTCTGGCTCTTGGGGTTCTAACGGGCCACCCTTTTGCAATTATACTGGGGGAGCCTGTGGTAAGATAATGCTGCTCGTAGCCCCTCTCCTCTACTCACAAGCGGCTTCAGTTCCCTAATCTTGTGTTGCTTTGAATCCCCAGCACTCACTCCTCTTATTTCTTTTTATGATCTGCAAAAGGCTGAAAAGATGAAAAACTGTTCTGCGCTTAATCGAAAGTCTATCTAATAATAATGAGTCCTGCAGCGGGCTTGTAAAGAACGCAGATCAGACCCACTTAACCATAATGGTCCTACAAAGTAATGAAGACTCAAGTGGTCCTTATTAGGTATCAAGCTGTGAATCAGAACTCATCTAACATTCTGATTGCTGAAGGAAATCGGTAATTGATGTGACAGAATGGCCATTATTATTATTATTACTTATTTTTTTTCCCTATCTAGACTTAGCTGCCAGAAGCCTGCCCAGCCTCCTTGGGGTATACCAGGTGTGCAGGGTGAGTGTTGCCCTTCCATTAAATCTTCCAACAGGGGCTCTAATAAATTTTGCATTGAAATAAGTAATGACCACATTTAACGACCAGTTTATCTGAGTGTTAACAGCTTGTGAGCCAACAAACTGGCCATTAACAAGTGTCAACTTCTGCTTTCTGGTTTAAACAATCCATTCTCATCCCTCTCCTGCTTGTGTTGGGGACATATGCAAATTTCTGGTTGGCGTTTTATTTTTCCTCTGATAGGCGTCTCTCCATAATCAGTTAGCTACTTCTTTGCTGATGGTTTCTCATTTCTAGGATGTAGTCCATGGATGGACAATTTTTTTTTTTTTCCTAATCCTCTTTTTTTTTTTTTTTTTGCCTGAAGGATGAAGGTATCCTGGCATAGTTTGGCCCCAAATGAATTAAGTGAATAGTCCTAAAGATGTGTCTATTCTTGGAACGTGAAATTTCCTACTCTGGAGAAGGAATGCAAATAGGTTGAAAATATCACAGGGTCTGAGGCAATGTTATGTCCTCTGAGGGAATGTGACAAAGGTGATCGGCTTTGCTAGAAAAGAACAGACATTTCTATTGAAGAGTGTGTGATTGACCCACCCTTAATCCCACATGGGCTTGTAATGGGGCTGGCTCTCCTGAGAAACCCCTTTATTACAGTCTCCTTTGTTTTGTTTTCTTGCTTTGGCCAGATTATTTTCTAGTAAAAAATATATCCTTTCTTCTCTCTACATACCTATAGGTATGCTGAGGATTTGGAGAGAGGGTTTAGACTTTTGGTCCTATTACTCCTGTTTTACTGCAATAGCTTCATACAGACAAAAGGGAAGTTAGAAAGCAAAATGTGCAAGGTTTGCCCAGTGAAATCTATCTTTACTGTCTTGTGTATGTGGAGAGGGCATCAGATTATACATTGTTCTTGCTAATGCAGTACTTCTCAAACTACTTGTACATAAATGTTCTCCCACTCAATAGGATGTCTTTTCTTTGTGATGATAGCTTCTTTTGCTATGCAGAAGCTTTTCCTTTATGCAACCCCATTTGTGTATTTTTGCTATTATCTCCCCTATTGTTTGAGTCCAGTCCCAAAAGACATCTCTGAAGTCAATGTTATAGAGTGTATTGCCTGTGTTTTCTTCTATGTATTTTATGGTTTCAGGTCTTACATTCAAGTCCATTTTGATTAATTTTGTGTATGTGTGAGATAGTGGTTTAATTTCATTTTTTTGCATGTGATTGTCCAGTTTTCCCAACACTTTTTTTTTTTAATTGAAGAGGCTTTCCTTTCTTCAGTGTATGTTCTTGGCTTCTTGTCATAGATTAACTGTCTGGTAGGTATGGGTTTATTTCTGAGCTGTCAATTCTATTCCTTTGGTCTGTGTGTCTAGTTGGTTCAATTACCATACTGTTTTGATTATTATATCTTTGTAATATAGGTTTAAGTCCTGGACTGTGGCACCGCTCTTCTTTTTTTTCTTAGGATTACTTTGGCTATTCAGGGCATTTGTGGTTCCAGAAGAATTTTCAGTAAATTTGTTTTATATTTTTGAAGAATGCCATTGAGACTATGGTATAGATTGCATTGAATCTGTATATTGCTTCATGTAGGATGGCCATTTTGACAGTGTTAATTCTTCTAATTCATGAGCAGTGACTATCTTCTAATTTCTTTTAACAATGTGTTATAGTTTACTTTGTATATGTCCTTCACCTCCTTTGTTAAGTTTACATCTATATAGCTAATTCTTTTTTGATGTAATTGTAAATGGGATTTTTTTTCTTGATTTTTCCTCTTCTATCTCATTGTTTGCACATAGGCAGATAACTAATTTTTTATGTTGATTTTGTAACCTGCCACTTTGCTGAGCTGTTTTATGGTTTCAGTTAGTTTTTTAGTGGAGTCTTTGGGGTTCTGTATGTTTGTTATTATGTTGTCTGCAAGTAATAATAGCTTTACTTCTTCTTTCCCATCATGGATTCCTTTTATATCCTTCTTTTGCCTAATTACTCAAAGTAGGACTTCTCATACTGTTTTCAGTAGTAGTGGTGAAGGTGAACATCCTTGTCTTGTTAATACATTTTAATGGAAAAATTCTCAGTTTTTCACCATTGAGAATGTTGTTAACTGTGGAGACTTGTCATATCTGGCTTTTATTATGTTGAGGTATATTCCATCTATCCCCAGTTTTTTGAGGGTTTTCATCATATCTTAATAGATGTTGTCTTGGCATCTATTGATATAATCATGATTTTTATCTTTCCTTTTGTTGATGTGGTAAATTACATTGATTGATTTTCAGATGTTGAACCATCCTTGTGTCCCTGGGATAAATCCCTGTTGATTATAATGTATAATCCTTTTATTGCATTATTGCATTTGGTTTGCTAAGATTTTGTTGAGGATTTTTTCATCTTTGTTCATTAAGGACATTCATGTGTAGTTTGTGTGGATGTGTGTGTGTGTGTGTGTTGTCTTTGTCTGGTTTTGGTATTAAGGTAATGTTATCTTTATAAAGTGTGTTCGGAAATAGTCCTCCTCTCTCACTCTCTCAGTTTTTTGGAAGAGTTTGAGAAGAATAGGTATTAGCACATCTTTGATGGTTTGTGCTTATATGGTGATTTTTAGATTGCCACTGGAACAGAAATTAAAAAACACTGTTTAAAATTGTGAGTGAGGTTTGAAAATTTAGTACATTTCTCTTAAAGGTCATTTACATACTGTTCAAATTATATTGAAAAGCAAATCTATTAAAGTTAAAAGCGAACATGTAATTTTTGAAGATTTGGTATCATTTGATTGCAAGCAATAACCATATGAATATCAACTTTAATTTCTATCAGAAGTTTTGCTGAATTTTAGCAAAAAATCCCTGTGTTCTAATTCTAACACTGTCATTCTTAGAGTTCCTTCATCTTTCACTGTTTCACTGTTTTCTTCTCATAAGCATATTATTAGTAGCCTCAAAAGTTCAATCTGTCTCTTCAACTAATATTTGTGGAACACTGGCCAATGTGAGGCAAAATGTAGTACAGTGAGTCCAAAAGGATATAGGAAATGTGCCCTGATATTTTTAGTCTTGTGTTGGAGCAGGAACATCCAAGAGAGGAACCACTGGGCATTGTGGGATGCAGGCAAGGAAATAATCACTTCTGGGCAGAGGTCTGTGGTAAAGGTGGAGGCTTATGGGGATGGGGTTGCAAGGATGATATTCTAAATAGAGGTCAGCAAACTTTTTATATAAGGGTCAAGATAGTAAGGATTTTAGACTGTGTGCCCCAGATGGTCTTAGTTGCAGATGTTAACTATGCGGTTGTTACATGACCAATAAAATTTTTATTTACCAGAGCAGGTGGTGAACCAAACTTAGCCTGTAGGTATAGTTTGTCAACTCTTATTGTAGACCTGGAAGGGAGGGTAGGAATTGGACAGGCTGAATGTGGAGTGGAACTGTGTGTTTGGGGTTGGGGAATGTGTATGGGTGATGGAGGCAGACACGTGTTAAGAAAATTATGAAGGACAAATTTTAGGGTATATCAGCACAGAGCTATTTTTAGGGAAGTGAAGGAAGAACATGAAAATAAATGTGGATCAGTTTTCAAGAAATGTTTAGATGTTCAGATGAGTGATTTGAACACTAATATGAAGATAATGGGAAAAAACAACAACAACATTGGTTGGGTCAGGCCAGGTTATGAAGCAGTAAAGATAAAAGAAAACAAAAAAGAGAAACTATTTCCAGAATCTTGTACTACATTGGCTTACTTCTGGCACCCACAAATTTGATGTGGTTGAGGCTACTCTCCTGGATGATAACCAGTCATCCTCCATATGGTGACTCAGTGACAAATAGGCTCTTCTATCTTGTGGCTCTGCCATTTCAGTACTTGACTTTCTGGGTCACCATAGCAGGAAAAACAGAGCTTGCTTCTCAATGTCTTCTCCATAAGTGATATCCTCTGTCATTCACAGCAATGCTCAGATCTCAGTGCATGGTTCTATGCAACTACATGAGGACTGGAGAAGAAAAGCAGAACAGGTGAGCACTAAAAATCTCTACCACATTCTTTGTAGGCAGAATGAAGTCAATGATGGTCTGGGAGGAGGTGGCAGAGAACTAACATGATCATAGCTTACCCTTGGAAGATTCCTCTAGAGGTAGGTATAGGATTGCTTGGAGTAAGGAGAGGCAGGGAGACCAGTTAGGAAGTTACTGTACAAGCCATGTCAGGAGGCAATAAAGGACTGAACTGAATGGTGGCACACAACATGGGAAGGAAATGAATGCTATGAGGGAACTCAGGCCTAATTGGGCGTGGGGACAAAGAAGACTCTGGGGAGAAAGGTATTTCTTTGGATTATAGCTCAGGAATGTTCTCAGGCAAATGAGAAAGGGGTAAGTTATAGGAGATATATAATTCAATTTTGGGAGCATATTGGTTTTACAGTGCTGGGGGCGGATATTCAAGTAGAAGCTTCAAGAGGAATAATGAGACAGGGAAGCCCACTTTACATAAAATAAAGGTGAGAAAGTTCAAAAAAGGGAGCAAGTTCAACAGTGTCAAAGGCTGCAGAAGGATGAAAGGGCATGCTGTAATAGCTGCTGCTGGTGTACTGCTGGTTTTCCTTGGATCCCCTTTGGTGTTTCTGGGTGTCCCTTCCCAGTCTCAGTGTGCTTTGGATCCAGCTTCCTACACCTGCAACTCTTCTTGTGAAGACTGCCTTCAGGCTTCTGGAGTGACTTTGCTGGTGAGTTTAGAGAGTAGCAAAAGTCCAGAATTCACTTTCCCCTACCTTCCATTCTGAGGCTTGAGTCCCAAACTGACAGTTGAGGAGGATGAAAGTCCAGCTCCCTTGCCTTAGGTGGGGACAACTCTGAGATACAGTTTGCATTCTAGAATTTTGACTTCTTCCCCTATACTTCCCTGCATCCCTATTCCCTTACTTTATTTTTTTTTTCGGGAAAACTATCTTAATAAACCACTTACCTATGAGTCCTCAAGACAGGATTTGCTTCTAAAGAATTGGATTTATGATAGTGTGGTTTAGGAAGACAAGTGATGCTGATCAAACAACCACTAGTAAATCTTGAGAGTCTAGAGTGCTGAGAAGCAGGTGCCAGGTTGTAAGGATGACCGAATGATAAGGACTGGTGGGAGATACCTGTAGAGCATATTAAGTGGAAAATTTGATATGTTCAAGAGAATGATAGGGCAATATGGAGAACTAAGGTGACTTGCTTGATTTTTAGACTAGAAGAAATCTGAACATATGAATGATCAGAGGGGATAAAATTAACGAAAGGGAGACACTGAATGAGATGTGAGGAAGAGGCAGACAACCATGAAAAAGGCAGTAAATAAAGTCTCCAGAATATAGACAGGGGCTGCCACTACCAAAGAGGTGGCATATTGTGTCCTCGGACACAGATATGGGAGCAGAAGCAGGTTAACTTGAGGGTGAGAGTAACAAAGCAGATAGGGAAGATGGTAGAATGCAGAAAGGGGAGGAGATGGTGGATTGTTACTCATTCATTGTAGAGATTACAGATTATAAAAATGTTGGAAGAGCTAAAGTCACTTAGTTGACAAATAGCATAGTTATAAGACCAGGTGTAGGTCCCTTCGTGGCCCTATACTTTGGTGACACTGTCCTAAGCAGCCAGCCCACCTGAAGAGAGAAAGTGTTTGGACTTTGGACGGTGGAGAGGATGCTGATGAACACCCTTCTTTCTGGTGACAGAGTAACAACAAGGTAGAGTCTTAGTCTCTTTTGAGGTGGATCCTCCTGAGAGGATCCTTCATCTCTTTTGAGATGGACACACTCAATGTGACAGTCTCAACAAAATGAGCTGTTGCATGGAAAAGCATCTTTCAGTCCAAATTAATGTGGATTTGGGAGAAAATACTTAGGGGAGGAGCAACTGTGTCCTGGTTCCCAGGACAGTGTTCAAGTTGATCTAAAAGTGTATGATTTTTTTAAAAAATGCCTTTAATAGTTTACCATAAGTACTTAAAGAAGTTCACCAACAAAGAGAAGCCTAAGGAGCTTGCTGACTTGGAAAAGGGTGGAGGTCAAGGTAGGAAAGAAGTGGAAGGGATCTTAGATTTTTTTTTGCAAAAGTCTGGAATTTAACTTAAGTCATTCGCTATTGGGCATTAAAAAGGGGCCTTTATTTTTGCAAGAGGATTTATGACCTTTTATATGTTTATTTTTCTTTCGCTATTAGACATCCAAGGAAGAAAGAACACAAGGGTCAGAGACTCCCTCTGTCCAGCAGTAGACCACATCCCCCCAGGTTCCCAAGCTCAAGGTGGTCTCTGGAACAGAGTGATGGGAGGGCATGCTGTCACCGACCTGGGCTGAGAGTGTGCCTTACTTCCCATCTAAGTGTCAACCCTCTTACCCTCGTTTTCACCCTATTCGATTCAACCCCACCTGCCCATTCATGCCCAAGGTCATTCACTGACTTTCTTCTTGCTCATATTTTCATGCCATTCGCTGTATATGAGGCCCTCTGTTTGGTTGGTGAGAAATAGTAGGATAAGCTATAATAGTTGCCCTCAAAAAGTTTCCCTGTTAGGTGGGGGAAACTTGTCATATACCCAAGGAGTTAATAATTGCTTTTACTAATCAATTTAAAACAATTTTGAGAGTTGATGGAAGATTGTTAGTCTGTATGTTTAAGGAATCAGAGGGAGAGATTCCTGGAATGGACTGGGTGTTCTTTGAAGGTTTTTTTTAATAGAAGTGGGAGGACAGCCAAATATTGAAGATTCGGCAGAATCTGGTCTGTCAGGTGCAGGAACATTTACATTCATGCACACACACACACACACACACACTATATATATATATATATATATATATATATATGTATATGTATATATGTATATATATGCGTGTGTATATATGTAATCTGTAATGTATGTTTCAGCAGATTCAGTGCATAAAGGGGACATCGATCTGTTTTTATTCCCAAGGCAAATGAACTTGTGAGGACAGCATGGGAACTCATTAAGTGCTTGGTGAACTGGAAGGCAGTTTCTGAGAGATTGTAATGCTGAGAGCCTGGCAACACTGAAACGTCGCTCTATCAGTGTTTAGTGAGGGACTGTGAGTTGCAAGGGTCCTTCTGAGGAGCTACTACAGGGGGTGTGGGGGGGAGCAGGTATTGCCACTGCCTCTGAGAACTGCACAGTTATTGATGAGAGACGGACAACACAGGCAGAACGTCAGCGCTGCAAGGCTCGTGGCATCAAGCAGTACACCAAAATTATTAGAGGAGTTTGGGTAGATGGTGGGCGGGGGGGAATGGAGGGAAGTGCTGATTATACTGAATGTAAGTTTTTTAAAAAATAATTCAGACTTCTGGCTTTTGGGTGAAAAAGTTAAAACTGAAGCAAAGACAATACTATATGGAGGGAACACATGACTGCTCGCCGGAGACAATATTGAGTTGAACATCTTAGTTCTTTCATTTTTAACAATACTTGGCTTTCATTTATGATGTCATGGCAGAGGAGATAGGCTTGGAGAAGCAAGTGCTACATTTACCACCAAAACCTGTGCTGAATCATTCATTTTTTTCTTCTTTCTCACTATTCTTATGGGCAGGGCCAGAACTGCTAATGTGCCACTATAACTGCTCCTTTAAGGTTTGCCTCTTTTCTTAGCGTGTGGCCATTCACCTGTGGAGGTGCTAATGAGCTACTGAGTGACAGGGGTACACCATGTGGGGTGGGGGAGTGAGGAAGGGAGGTGGAGGGCTTGGGGTAAATGTGAAGGATTGAACCCACTTCTCTGAAATTAGTAAGTGTACCTCTATGGACAGAAACACTTTTTATTAATTGATGGATTGATCTTCCATTTCCCATTTTAGGGATGGTCCCTTCTTGGCTTCAGACTTAGTTCTTTCTTGATCACACCCTGGCTGTGGATGAAAGTCCTTCTATGGTTGGAAAGAGAAATTTCATGGATAACCCAGAGGTAACCCAGCCGGAAAGCAAAGAGTGGATTGTGCCATACCTAATTGACAGTGGAGGGGTAACCCTAGGTTACGTGCCTTTCGATGAAAGTTCCATATTAGCTGTTTGCTTGCAAGGAGCAGATGTTTTGGCTCTGGTGGTCACTGCTCACCTCTGTCTGGGAGGTGCATCAATCACTTTAATTATAATGGAACGTGGGGCCAGGAACTGAAGGAGAAAAATCAACCCAATCCCAAGAACAATCTTTCTTGATGAATTCTCCCCTAAATCGAAACAATTCACTGGGTATCCCAGCTGGGGTTCATATGCTTTTGATTACTGTGGGCTATTTAGCTCTACAAAATGACAGGCTGCTTAATGGACTTTTAATGGTTATAGGTTTCTCTCTCTTTTTTTAATGAGCTTCACCAGTTTGTTACTAATGCCCTGTAGAAATTTGGCAAGGGGCCAGACTTGATGTTACACATTTCTGGTTTCCAGGCCGCATACATGCAACCATGTAGCCAGTGGGGAAGTGTGTTGCCAATCGTAGGGTAATGCCATTAGGGCAAGGAGAGGGGAAAGCTAATTGAGTGCCCTGTCTTCCTAATAATTATGTTATCTTAGAGATGGTGGTTGTACTTTGTAGCTGAAGTTACCCTGAAGGCTTCAAGGGCCTTGGGCTCTCAGGTGGCAGGAGAGTTGGTGATGTTGAGAATGGGTTGGTAATTGGTGTCCGTCCCTCCCAGCCACATACACCCAGTTTTATCCTGTCCACCAACGAACCTGTGAATATCTGAACCCAGGGCCAAGATTTATTCAGTCATGTTTGTATCCACAATGCCTGTGCCAATGGACCTACATTAGGTGTTTGATGCAAGTCTGTTGAATGAGAAACAACAATTTGGAGGAGTGAGAAGGAAGAGCTTCTTTTACTGAAGGATTTCCCTCTCTGGGTCTCCAGCAAAAAGTATGAAAGGGAGGTCCCCAGTCACTGATAACAATAGCGACCCCCGTGTCTTGTCTTGCACCAAACATCATGCTGACATGTTGTGTGGA